CGGGCTGGGGCAGGGGGTTGATGTGTGGGGAGAGGCTCAGGGGTGCAGGATGCAGTGGCATGTCCCTTCGCCGGCTCCTGCGTGGAGGCGGGGCCAGGCGGCTCTGCACATTGCCTTGTCCACAGGCCCCACCCCTGCAGCTCCCATTGGAGCGCTGGAATGGGCCATTGGAGTGCGTAGGAGTCAGAGGGGGGCCATGCTGTGGCTTCCGTGAGCCACGTGGAGTGGCCCCAGACCCTGCAGCGGCCTCAGACCCTGAGCCCCAGCTGGAGCGGGGTAAGCCCCGCCCCTGCTCCCTCGTGGGAGCTCGAGGGCTGCCGGCCCATAGTTTGCCCACTCCTGGTGCAGAGCTACAGTGGCCATTCAACATTCCTCTCGTCCTCGTTAACACTACTGATTCCCCTGACACCTGTGCTGTAACATGGGCTGGCCACCAAAGCCCATTTGACACGTTACTCCTCTAAGGCCAGAGTCGGGCTCTGAGGTTTTCATTCTTGTCCCTTATTGCTCTCACTGATTGCTGACCTGCAGCCAGTGGCAGGATAGCTGTGAGGTGTGTGCTCATTTTAGTCTCTTGAGAGGTCAGTACGGCCCCAGCTCACAGAACTTTATTTCCATTCCTGCCACTGACTCATTGCCTTGACCTTGGACTCGATCCCTAACATGGTACCTCAGTTTCCCCAACTGTAAAGTAGCAAGAATTACAGCTCGCTACGGTGGTGAGGCTAGTTGAACTGTGCAGGGCTGACGCACAGCTTGGTGCCAACTATACTAAGAACCCTGTTTTTAGTCATAAAGCCCATTTGTTTGGGAAAGAAAACTCACACAGCCCCCCCAAAAGGCTCCCCAGACTGTTTTATTAAAGTTCTCAGACATCGGGGGAGAACCAACACTTAAATCAATCAACAATGCAGTCCATTAGCGAGGCGGCTGTGTAAAAAGGGCGTGCTCATCTTTCCAGGGAAGGGAGCTCTTCCCTCCTGAAAGGCATCTGTGTTTGAGGCCACGTCAAGGGTTTCCAGTACATTGCACTATTTGGCTGGCTGGGCTGCAGCTTAAGCGCATCCATTGAAAACTCAGAGTACGCAAAGGCATGCTGGAGCCGCCAGGCCTGCGGACAGCAGTGGTCGGGCTCGGTGTGGAAGAAATGTAGTCCATGCTGTAAACAGTTGTTATCAAAGAAAGAGCCCTAATCCATGATGAGAACAAGGGGGTCACTCAGAATTAATGGGTACGTCCTGTAAAACAAAATGCAGGCAGAGCGCACCGCCACGTTGACAGCCCTGGCCCGCGGCGATCAGCCACTGAAACTTAAGAGCTGCTTATGGGTAATTTATGACCAACACCCGTGGCAGCTCTGCAGGATGGGATGAGGGTACAGCCACCACAGGCATCAGGGTGTGCCAGCACAGGGTAGGGAATGGATTCTTTACCAATACTCCCCTCCCATAATTCACCTTGCCAATTGTGTGATACTTTACCTTTGAAGCATCGTGTATTAGGCACTGTTGAGGCAGGACATGCTTCTCACTGGACTGAAGATCAGATCTGGTACGGTAAATTCCGTGTTCCTGTTCATTTGCTGATAAAACCCCCTTCCCTCCTACACACCCAGGATTTAGGGGATGTAATAATGCAGAGGAGCGGCTCAGAGACCTGCTCTGAATGTGCAGCGAGTGTTATCCAGCTTTAGGTCAGCCCTTTGCAACATAATTAACCCAGATCCTGACACACTGACAGGTGTACAACGCCTCTCCCCAGCTGCTGTGGGAAGGGAGCTGCCAGGCCTCTGACACACTGCAGTACAATGCGGAAGGAAAATGTTCTGATGTGCACAACGGGTCCCTGCCTTCTTCCTGCAAGTTACCTGGCTGTCTGGGGTGTCGGCCTCCTGGGATTTTTTTTAGCAACATTGAAGGGCTACCAATTTAAGTTTCAGCAGCCAGCTTCCCTGCCCGGCAACAGGAGCAGGTACTTGGGTCATGCACGGGGCTGGCTCTCTGCTACCTTTCCAATCTGTGCAGAGCCCAGAGTCGGATTCTCCAATCCCCGCCCCACTGGCAACAGCCACCCGTCTCACACTCCCCTTCGGTTTGGATCATTTTGAAGTGTCCTAATGACCCGGGATCACCGACAAAGCACTCTGCAAAATTAACCGCTTTTAAAAAGTGTAGAACCCTCCCGTGTGCCCCAGTACAAAAAGCACCTCGTCGGGTTACTGTGCTGTGCGCTCTTAGGACCGCTGGAAAACCCTGCTGGGGTCCTAGCACAAACTCCAGCGGAATCAGGTGGCAGGACAGGTCCTGCGCTCCCACTGCGCTCTGTTTAATTCAAACTTGTGCCTCCTTAGGTAGTGGCAGCAACATCCATTTCCTGCAGCTCAATAGGCTTAAAGCAGCGTCCACGGATACTTCATCTTTCTTACCATAGTAAAACCAATCCCCTTCCCTCCCCACTCCCACAAACGAGAGCCCCAATGGAAAACAGCCCCGACACAATAGGCCTCCACACCAGCACTTTTCTCAGCTCCGTTCTCCTTCAGTTGCTTGATTGCACGGCCATTCGAGTAGCTGCATCCCCTCTCAGCCTTCATTCTCAGGTCAGCCCTTTTCCCATGCCCTGGGCCAGGGCAGGGCTGCAAAATACCCTTTGCAGGCTTTGGGTGGGGGCAGTAAGGAGCGAGGCTGGTAGCATTCGGTCACTGTGCAGACTCCAGCAGAGAGAAAGGGAGATGAATTCGACAGTGGCATCTAGAGAGGAAGTAAGAAAGGGAACGCTCATTAATACCCAGATCACTCATCTACCACAGCCATGAACATGTCCCTCCCACTCATGGGAGATCCCGTCTGGGCCTAATGAATCCCCAAGGGAGACGAGGGGCTCCACTCTCTCACTTGTCTGGAGAATCTCAAAAGGCTTTGTATTGTCAGCTCTTGTAAGTCCTGCTTCACTGCATCCCATTACAGGGCCACTGATGTAATGACAGCCCCGCCATTGATGGAAATGGGGTGGGGGGACGTGACGGAATATACCCGGGTCCACACCCCGCACACTATTGTAATAATCTCTGTACTACGTACAGGGGCAGCTCTAGCTTTTTTGCCGCCCCAAGCATGGCAGGCAGGCGGCTTTCGGTGGCGCTCCTGTGGGAGGTCCCCGGTCCCGCGGATTTGGCGGCTTGCCTGCGGGAGGTCCCCGGTCCTGCGGCTTCGGCGTACCCACCGCCGAATTGACGCCAAATCCGCGGGACTGGCGGACCTCCTGCAGGCAAGCCGCCGGAGGCTGCCTGACTGCCGCCCTCGCAGGAACAGGCAGGGCGTCCCCTGGGGCTTGCTGCCCCAGGCACGTGCTTGGAGCACTGGTGCCTGGAGCCGCTGCTGACTATGTACACCTTGTGCGGTATCATCTGAAAACTCATAATTTGCTTGTCCTGATAAAATATGTGGGGCAACATTGTATGTGAAGTTATAGGATTCCACTGTACGGTGATGGTAACACATGTTCCACACTGAGTTTGGAAGACAGGTCTGTCTCAAACAAAGGAATGTGTGCTCTGCTAAATTTGCATTTAAGCAATAAATAGAGTCATCAAGCAGGAAGGGAGGCAAAGGATGCTCAACCAGGTGAGGAAAAAGCAGCAGGGAACATCCTTCCTTAGAGACTCTTTGTCTTAGCTGGAAATGTTTTTCAAGAGGGGGACTGATACTATAAAAAGGAGGGACAAACACCCCAAGACGACCCCTCTCTTTCCTCCTGCCCATCGCATTCACGGCACCAGAAGAGACCAAAGAAGCATTCGTTGAACTCTGAGAGAAGGGGTCCTGACCTAAGAAGTTTGGCCAGTAAGACTGCTGAAATCATATGGTGAGAATCTGATATAGTTTGTTAAGTCAGGTACCAGTGGTGTTTTAACTTTATTAACTACAAAGAGAGAGATTTTAGGTGAGTACAAGTAATGAGGCATGTAAGTTAGAAATGGTTACAAGAAAATAAACTTGTTTTATTGCAGTGGTTCTCAAACTGGGGCCACTGCTTGTGTAGAGAAAGCCCCTGGCGGGCCGGGCCGGTTTGTTTACCTGCCGGGTCCGCAGG